TGTTCTCCAAAGAAACAAAAGGGTATGGATGCGCAAAGTTTCGCTTTGTTTACATGTTCTAGATATTCTTGCGCACTACCTGCCATTGGAGAGCAGAGAGAATGACCTAAATTTTAGTATGCAATGTGATTGGGTCGACTTTATGAATGGACAAGAGATACCATCCGCAGTGTTTACCCTGAAAGCCAGTTTCCTCACGCATTTTTTGGGATTACGCAATATACCTCGGGTTAAAAAACACCTTTTAAAATATATTTTAAAGTCAAAATAACCCAAATCCTTGTAAATATCAATAAATAAAAGGCTGTAGAATCCGTTTTTAATGGAACTTAGTTTTTGTCAAAAATTCTATTTTTGACCTTTGAAGCCTGATATCTCGGTTTGAGAAAATGCGACATGTGGTCCCTTTCACCAGGCACACACACATTTTTTAGGAAGTGGCTATTCTCCCCAGGCGGTGAGAATCTAATAGCTGTTCCTACCCCCCTCAGGCCCCAGGTGTGCTATGATACAGTACAGTAGGCCTATAGACAGACACACACAGACCGTGGCGAAGCGTCTATACTATAATAATGAAATAATCTCTGCTTCCCTTCCTACTTTTGAAACATTGTGTTATTTGTTGCTGTCAAATTCACCCATAGACGTAAACTTCATAAATTAAATGTAAAAAGACGTTCATAATCACTAATGAACAGTATGCCTAACATTCAAAACTGTTTCATTGCCACAGAAATAGCCTGTTCATCCCTATCTGGCCGCTCCATAAGCAGTCAAAGCTTTGATTAATTAAAAGTTTAGTAAGCTTAAAGTGAGGCAGGAAGAGTCTACCAAAAGAGTTGGAGGGAACATGTGTGCAACACTCAAAACTGTTTTATTGCCACATTTTCTGCCACATTTTCCCTGTTCACCCCTTTCGTGCCACAGTCATGCAGTCACAAGCACTGATTATAATGTAAGCTAACTATACTGGTCGAGTTTACCTCACTGATATGAGGGGAACTAACTCCTTTATATTTTGACTGCTGGGGGTGCTTGTTTTTTCCTTGACTTTTTGGCGTCTTATAATCAGATCGTGACCTCGATTATGACACCGGCTCCTGGTCGCGAAAAGCTAGACATAAACAGCCGAAATATGAACTAAAAAATTAATAATTGTCATGTTCTGCCTAAGAGTTCAAACTTACTGGTATAACTTGTAGTACTGATGTCTCTGCTTCTTTCCTTTGTGTTTGTGTATTCACATCTAAAGTTAAATTTAATGTTAGATCTAGTTGGAATAAATGTTTAATGAAATGCTTTCCTGATTATTTTAGCGGTTGAACATGCGTACAACTTGAATTCAGGATTTGTATTCAGTTTTCATTCACAACTCAGTGTTGCTGCCTCGAGTAAGATTCTCATGTGATATCTCCAGAGCCTATTCTGGTTCCATCTCACTTCGATTACTGGGTCAAACTAGTCAGCCTTCACCCCTGCACACAGAACACCACAGAGAATTTGTATGTACTTATATGAGTTATAGAGGGTGGGGGGGGGCAGGGTGCAATAAATTATAAAATAAATCACATCAGTAGTCGGCGTGTATTACTTCAGTGATTTTTTGGTTTTTTGTTAGTATTTTTTTTTAGTGATGGAGCTGTCTTAAGGTTAGATTCTAAAACACTTTTCTGGCACTCTTCTGGAGAACTGGTCATGGCCTACCTCCATAGATTAAAATCGGAAACAAAAACGGAAGTTGAGTACAAAAGTTGGCTGAGTTGCAGGGTGAAAAGGCCACCCAATCATGCCCAGTGAGGAAAGAAATAAAATGTAGAAAATACAGAAAAATCAAACTTTTCAAATATCCTCTCCTTC